GCTGGGGCGCCGGCCCGAGCTTCCCTCCTCATGCGCTGCCTGCGAGACCCAGCGCCCTCGGCTCTGAGCGTCCTGTGGAACCCAAGTCCCGGGCGCGGACGGAGGGCACGGCGCCGCTCGGCCTGGTGTTTGCGCAGAGCAGTTAGCGCTGCTGCTCGGAAATCTCCAGCAAGGTAGTTGCTGGCGGAGGGATTCCGTGTGTAGGCTCTTCGTAGGAAGGGTAAAAAGGTGAGTCAGTGGATAAGGGTTCTGAAGAAACCCACTTTTTTTTTTTCATTTTTAAATTTAAAGATTTAACCCACAAGCTAAAGCAAAAACAGTGAAACCAGAACACCATCTCAGAGTCTGTACCCGCTTCAAGCCTTCCAGATACAAGAGCCCTGAAAGTCACATACACCAGTGGGAGAACAAAAGTACAACGGAGCCACGGCATTTCATAAAAACACCTTACAGAGCAGAAGCACCCTTCCCGGGATAGTTAATCGCCTCTACAAAAGCAACTAGCAAACCACAGAAACAGAAAACAAGAACTGGACAGTATGAATGAAATTCCAGTGTTCCAAGTCAAAGGGTGACACATCACCATGAACCCAGGGTCAAGGCAAACCATAGGCTGCCTTTCCTGCCTCATTCTCAGATTTGAATCTTGACTCATCCCGCAGAGACTCCCCAGGCCAGAGGCAAGACTGCGGCACCCGTAAAACTTGTGTGGTAGTTCCACTGTGGTGGTATTGCTGGGCAACCTTTCAAACCGTGCAGGGTTAGAAGCATAACTTAAAAGGGTACTAAGACTCAAAGGAGAAAAATGAAGGAAAGAAAACCTCTGAAAACGGCCAGGACATACATACATACATATATTTATGTATTTATTCAATTTGTTGAGACAGGGTCTTCACTGTGTATCCCAGGCAGGTCTTGAATTCAGGAAGATCCTCTCGCCTCAGCCTTGTGGGTGCTGAGATCACAGGTGTATGCTACCATGCCTGGCTCCAGAGCATTTCAAGGAAACAGAAGAGTGTTAACAATTAAACTCCCTTTTATAAAAAAAGGAATTTATTTTGATTTAAAATATTTTACTCCCCTGTGTGGAAAGCAGGAAGCAAGGGCCTTGAGCCCCATCCCCTCCATAATTTGACAGCAGGGTTGGATGTTATGTATTGTGATCTTATTTTTTTGTTTATTTTGTTCTGGAATTAAAGTATGAGAAATAAAGAAGAAAAAAAAATAAAAAAAAATATTTTACTCTAAGCCAAGCGTGGTGGCACACACTTGTAATCCCAGAGCGGGAGGCTGAGGCAGGAGAATCGTTGCAAGTTCGAGACAAGCCTGGACTACAAAGTGAGCTCAGGGCCAGCCTGAACTGTATAGCGAGACCCTGTCTCGAAAAGACACCCCCCCCCCAAAAAAAAAAACAGCAACAAAACAGAATGTTTTGCCTTTATCATATGGCCTGCTTGACAGACTTCTCAGGATCACTGCTTCTCTTTGTCAAACATCAAAGCACTCCGAGACACACCCTCTGCTGAGTAGAGCTTTACCAAGGTATTGATCAATTTTTGCTTGAAAACTTGCTTGGAATTTAAAAATTAAGTCACAGTATTTGATCTTTTGAAGCCACATAGGTAGAAGGGAGATGAACTCATCATAGAGCCTGGGCTACTGCCAGTGTGGATTACACAAGGAAATGTACTGCCCGGGGAAATGTCAGTGTGCGGCTGGCCTTTGGTGCTCCAAAGGTCAGAACGGTGGTACAGTCTTGATCTCTGGCTTTCTCCATGTGGTTATCAATGTTCAGTGACTCAGACCTACTTATTTAGGCAATGGAAAGGGAAAAGCAACCAAAGCAAAACCCTTGTAAGGGCTCTTGGAGAACTGGGAACCAAGGTTACCATGGAAATTGAATTAGTCAATGTCTACACATAGATGAGAGTGATAGAGGCTCCCCTGCAGGATTAACATGCCTTCCATTAACAGACCTAAAGAGTGGGCATGGTGGTACATGCCTGTAATCTCAGTGCTCAGAAGGCTGAGGCAGGAGGATCCTTGTGAGTTTGAGACCAGCCTGGGCTACAAAGTGAGCTCAAGGCCAGTTGAACTGCATAGCAAGACCCTCTCAAAAAGACAAAAAAAAAAAAAGTTAAAGTTTTGGGCCAGGGATGTAGCTCAGTGGCAGGAGTGCTTGCCTGGCAAGTGCAAGGTCCTGAGTTCAATTCCTGGTACAAAAAAAAAAACTAAAGAAGGCCTTAGAAAGGCTTTGGACAAGCCTCAGAGAGCAGGAGTTTTGTTCGGGAACTCTCCAGGGGAAAGAGACACTTGTGGTAGTGGGGACAGGACTGTCGCAGGAAGTGGGCACAGGAAGAACAGAAGCAAGGAGACCACTAAAGGTCACTGCCAGCCAAGGATGGCGGCATGAACTTGGATAAATGGTAGAAGTAGAGATGAAGTGAAGTGGATGGATACAAGGTTTATTTTGAAGACAGTTTCCATGGGAACTGAGAAGGGATTAGATTATGGATGAGGAGAAGGTAGTGACGAGGTTGGCTCCTGGACTTTTGGCTTGGAGATTGTAGTGGATTGATAACTGGTGGTCAACTTATAAACCCCAGCTGAACTGAGTAACTGTGGTGCTGGGTGTGGGAGGCCCACCCGAGGACTGTTGCCAGCAGCATAAAAGGCAGACCTGGAGAAGAAGAAGTGGGCTGTTGGGAGCTGAGAGAGGCCGTGGGGAGCTGGCTTTCCTGATGAACTTGGCTGTTTTCACCCTCTGAGGAGCTCAGGACCTCGCTGGCACTGAGAATGGCTTTGGTTCACTTTGGGGAGCTCTGGTCCTCACTTTGAGCATAACCGCCTGGTTCCAGAGGGGAAGATGGTGCACTGCCAGCCTCCAGGAAAAGCTTTCTGCGTTGGTTTCCCTGATGGGAACTCGGCCATCCTGATTATCGCAGGAGCTCGGGACCTCACAGTTGCCGAGGATGGCCATGGTACCTTTTGGGGGAGTTGTGGTTCTTCTGAGCATCACTTCCTGGCTCCAGTGCAGATCCCTCAGCCTGCTAGCACAGATCCTTCATCCTGCTGGCATAGACTTGTAGATTCTACCACTGACCTTTGGGCCTTCCCAGCAGATTTGTGAAACAGGCCTGCATGAGACGCTGTCATGGGCTCTGGGCCTCCAGTTGGATTCGTGGGAGGCATTGTTATGAGCTCTGGGTATTCAGCTCAACTCATGTAGGACATTGTTGTGGGATCCAGGCCCTCAGCTGGATTCCTTGGTCTTAGTGTGTGGACAGATTTCCTGCACTCCTTTGTATACTGTTCTTTGGGTGACTTATAAATAATCACATAAAGTATGTGTCCTGTATTATGTTGTTCCCCTTGCAAAATAAGCCACCACTAACTGACACAGAGATGCTACTGTCTGACATAGGCAAGACTGGGGAAAGAGCAGCAGATCTGGGAGAAAGGTGAAGCACGAAATTCCGAACTGGCCAAGTTTGAATGGCTGGTGAGACATCGGAGTGAAATGACCAGGCCATGTCTGACGTGCTTGAAAGGGTTAGGTCCAGTTTGGAAACCACTGGCATATAACCACATCTAAACCAATAGGAGAAAATAAGACAATCCAGGGAGAGAGTACAGAGTGAAAAAAGACAGCGCAAGTCCAAGCACAAGCATGCATGTTGAGAGACCGGGAAAAGGAAGAGGGACCCGCGAAGGAACTTGAGAACAAACGAAGCCATCATAGGAAAAGGCAGTGTTTCTAAGAAAAAAGTGGCCAAGTATTGAATCCTGATAAGAAATCAATATGGAAACCGAAGTGTCAGGAGGGTTTAGCAACAAGGAGTGCTAGGGTTTGGAAGTGGGTGATGTCTCCCAAGGGTCCTGTGATGGAGGCTTGTACACAGGGTGGAGCCATTGAGGAGTGCTCTGGACTTTTGGGGGAGGGGCCTAGTGGGAGATCTTTAGGTCATTGGG